ATGAAGTAGAATTCGCTATGAGGCGTGTGGCTCCGATGAACCGGGCGATACCGCCAACGTATGTAAGCAACTTTCGTACCTCTTTAAGACTCCAGACATTCTAAACAATGTTGACCATTGCTCTGAAAGGAAAAAGGCCATCCTCGCACAAGCTTCAAAGAAGGATGGTTCGTGAGGTAGTTCTGAATCCATGCAGAGGTTTGCTGAAAGTCGATCTCTCAATCCAGTTGAAGAGGAGGATTATGATAGCCTGATCGATACTTTCGGCGTAAACATTCGATGTCATCTGAAATTTTAGTTGGATATTTTATTGTTCAAATCAAGGCTTCCGAATATTCCATTCTTTCAACGGAGATTACCACCTATTTATGATCTTATGTTTCAATAAATCCAATAATGTGGAGTGGTGTGCAAAAACATTTACGTCAGCTTGGATTCGAACCCAGGCTTCACCCCGTTCGGAGGAGAGTGCTGAGTCGTTGCACTACCTGAATAGGGATATTAACGACTGTTGCTTTTGCTTTCTGTACGTTCAAAACTCGTTATGAAGTAGATTTTACCGTTATTTGTTCTTTTATATGGGTCCTATGGCCATTCCTTACTATAGAACGTCTCACTGAGATCTTTCAATGGGGCAGAATTGAAGTTTTTGCTCTTCGTGGGGAAATACGAGATCACAGGCACTTTGTTATAACCTACGCTTATGCATGTATGATGCATGACGGGCATTGGGAGTAGCCATTGTTATTCGCCTTTTCTATAAAAAATGTATTGCATTCAATGCGTACGGTCCACAATGTCCTCCCCATCTGAGTACTCAAGTCTCTACTTTTGTGGTTCTTGCTCCATTATTCAGTGCATCTACACTTTTTTACGTTTATTCCTCGGGCATTGTATCTTCCACGATTACATCGTGTAAACGACTCATAAAAATCGCGTCCATTGACCTCTACAGTTTTTCATTACGCAGACAAAAGAGGTACTTGAAATGTTCAGAAAATCGAATTCTAAGATCATTGTAAATTTAATCGTTATCACTTTTCACATCATTTACAATATGATGTTTCACCTAATCAATGTCTGTGCTTACATATTCTCACACGAAATCATCCTCTGATTTGAGATGTTTTTGTGCGGAAAAGAAAATCTCGTGTTTCGAAAGAGCAAAACTCCAGGATTGTTGTAATTGAAGCTGATTTTAATGCTTTCGTTCAGCTTCTTAGACAATGCTAATACCTTGACGCTCTAAAGGCCCATATTCGCAAATTTTATGAAGAATTCTGCAAATCCCGGCACAAAACCCACTTGGGTTTGATTCCGTGGTTGAGCAAAATTTTTAAAGCAGATGAAGTTTCGAAAGGCGCTCGAAGGTTTTCTCACATCGTCACTGTTTGTTAGCTAGTGACAGTTTTTTCTTCAGGATCATAAAAATCTCTGACAATGTTTATTCTTAACTGAGTTTCACGTCGAGAGCTCATCTCAGGGGATTCAACAGAGACAATGGGAAATGCGATCGACCTACTGGACATATTCCGATACCGCAAGTAATGGCAGGAGTTTGAATATCGTGAAGACGGTCGTATATATCTTGCAAACAACTATAAACTTAGATTTGAGTTAACATGACTCTACAGAGAAGGGCTCTAAATCGAACCCTACACCTCTAACGCTGTTGTTAGTTCATCAATCATACGACAAGGATTACCGATTGCTGTTGTCCAGAGGGAATATCCATGCATCACTAAGGCGTAGGAAGATGCAGTCTATTACTTAAACACTCCAACCTTGACCTTTGGTCTCTTCAACTTTGACCACCTTTTGTTTTTGACCCGCCCTCGGCGTATCAGGTATAATCCTGAATGTTCGACTTATCAATATCTTACCCAGACCTATCCGGCAGACTCTGAAAAAGAGATCTGAGCCGGATGAAGCATTCTCATATCGTCCCAGTGCTACAAAGCGGCACAAGAGAGTTATAGTTGGGAGTGGTGGTAGAGTGGTCAGTTATGTCGGTTATCAGAAAACATGGTTCTGGTTCAATCATTTCCCATCACACTCTAGCATTAACTACCTGCGTGCATTTGTTGATTGCGTCACACTCGTCAAAAGTTGTCACAGTGTTTATGGTGATCAGTGCATTTGCTGAATTCCACAAAATTTCTCGGTGTTGATTTCCGTTATTTGTTGTCTGATCCGACAAGTTCGCATAGTGCCTGATTCTTGAATTTCCAAATATAGCTTATCACTTCTCAAAGAGTATTGTGGCTGAGTGTATTCACGATGTGTTGTGATATAAAGTATAATCTCCATCTCAGTAGTAAATTCTTTCATTCTAAGACTATCTACCTTTTTTTGGAAGCCTTAATCGATTCAGTGCCAAGCGATGTAAATTTATTGGAAGGATTCTACTTTGTAAGCAGTAGACCTACTTCAATTCGCGTGATAGACGTGTAGCTGGCTCAACAACATGGGACATCGTGCCGCGCGTTCTCAAAATTCAGGAAATTTTTTTGTCAGAGGCACTATCATGCCAGTTTTAGGAAAAATCACAGTAGAAATTATTAGGGTTTCAATTGTGGTGACGTCGAAGAATATTGTTAAATAAAGACGTATTTGGCACTGGTAAGAGAGTTATAGGTGGCAGTGATGGTAGAGTGGTCAGTGCTGTCGGTATCAGAAATCATGGTTCTTGTTCAATCTCTTCCCACCACACTCTTGCATTAACTACCTGGGTGCGCCCTAGGCTAGCTGACGTCACGTTTCTACAGAGATTTGACTCGATCACTATTTTATGTTATTCATTAGAAGCGTGTTTTCTAACAGGTGTCCAAACAACACACGAAATGATTCAAAAGTTCAAATTTCTATAAACCTCGGCATTAATAATTGCTATGTCTACATCGAAAGAAGTCATCTCGATCAGCTGACGCGAGGTTGGTAGAGCATTAGCAGTATTAGTTCGGCTGAGGTTTCAGCGACTCACCTTCTTTAGAGCCTGGACGTATGTGGTATTAGACTACTAGGTAGATAAATAGATATTAGATAGTCTAATAGCACATGCGTCCAGGCTCTGAAAAAAGCGGCTCGTCGAAACGTCACCCGAACTATTACTGCTACTACTCTACCAAGCTCGTGTCAGCTAATCAAGATAACTTCTTTCGATTTAAACACACGAAATGTTCAAAGACAAAGACCTTTGGGACGATGAACACATGGAATTGGATCCATTGCTAAAAGAACTGATATCCGGGCAGTTAAATGTGATGGAGGGTCGCATGAAAATATACAAAAGTGTGAGAGAAGTACCTTTATCTCGACTATTTTTGAGATCTCGCTCAAAACAGTATAATCTGATACATATTTTGAGCCTTTCATGACGTCTCTTATGACACTTATAAATGGCCAGACACGTGTTTCGGCCTTTCAGCCTCATCAACATCACGGTGCTTTTGTTTGAGCCAATCCTGGGTAGGGCAATGCACCCCCTGCATGTAAGGGTTTCGACGCCGAAGATGTTACACTCTGCGCACAAGGTGGAAAAAATCACTTCGCACCACAGAGGTAACAAATCACTACACGTCTAGTGATAAGATCACCCGACATTTTAGTGATACTGCCATACTTTAAACAGACTTCATGGAAGGCTCAGATTATGTTATCAGATATAATGAGGAAAAGTCACGCAGAAGGGCCTTTTTTAGCACGATGTCCGCTCACAGCGAGCTGCGTATCCTGTAAGGATTCATTGTGTTCTTATACTGGAGTTTATCAAAAACGTTCTTTTCAGAGGTATTCTGTGGACGGAAGTTTTGGGTTACCTTCCAACTCTTTTATTCTATCATATGTTTGAAAAATTACATTGAATTTATATATGAGGTACTCACTGAACGCAGAATATTTTTTGTCGGTTGTTCCTAAATGTTGATGCCTTTGACTTCTTAAGGCTCAAAACTTTGTTAATTGAAAGCAAAGAAGAGAAAGGTTTTGGTCTCTTTAAAAGTATAACTTCGCCTGAATACTCTGTTGAGTAAATTTCAAGATTTTCATTTCTTATAGGAAGCTTCCAGTTTTACAATACTCGTTTGCTTAGTTGCCTTCTGAATGAAAAGTTGCTTAAACTGTAATTTTACAACCGAAATCATTATGTACAGATCGAAATTTTTTCTCAAAATCAACTCTCCTTTCTCAAAATTTCTAGTTTTTTTTTGTGGACACTTTCACTTTTGCGATATATAATGTGTATTCATTTGAAATTAGCGACCAATGTGCCAAGTGATCTTACACAAGAAAAATTATCAGTGAGTATCGCTATATTATTGCCGTAGCCTCTACGACTTCCTCTCTAATTATGCGTGGCTTACTAGCTAGAAATTTTTTGTCGAGAAACGACAAAGTGTTACTTGGTTATGCTTTCCTCCATAGAGCCATTCCTCTATCCATTTCCCATGGTTGGCAGGTGTTTTTGGATCCTGAAGTGCATTATATGAAAAGGTTTATCACCTAAGTTGATCACTCTGGACATTCTATCTGAGGGAGGGAATGTGCACAATGGAACGCTACCGTAGTGGGCGATAGTTGGTGGCCAGGAGGGCAACCCTCTTGTGAATATGACCAGTCAGCTGATTGTGGTGACGATCTTACAAAATATTCATACAACTATGTTGAGCCTCTAAGAAAAATTCCGCCAGATTATCAAGGCATCAGTTGAATTCTTCACAGCCATCTTACTTCTTCATGGAGTGATGCGCCATCCAAGCATTCAGGCATTTTCTCTGATGGCAATGTCGTGTAGTTGACATACTTGATCCTAGTCTTTCAATCCAAACCGAGTTTGTTCCTATCTGTCATAGACACTTTTTATCAAATTAAGAATTTTTGTAGACTATTAGTTGTTTCAACTCATAATAACCTTGCGATTTTTCTAGTGTTTTTACTGCATTTTTCGCAGTGTTATGATGTTTCATACATACCTAAGAGAACTGAGTGGTGAGAAAAAAGAAAGCCTCAGCCCGGAATCGAACCCGCGTTTCATTCATATCGGAGACACGTGCTACCACTATACCACTGAGGTACATTCGTACCATCACTCATTCTTCAACATCTCTATGTTAGCTGTCAGCCACTAACTTTAACAGGTTTGCTCGGGTATACGATTTCGCTTTATAAATCTAGTTGAGTTGACAATGTTTTGTTGCATCTCACTGTTGAAGAATGAGTGGTGGTGCGAATGTACCTCGCTCATATAGTGGTAGTACGCGTTCCCGGTATGGATGAAACGCGAGTTCGACTCCCGTCTGAAGTCGTATTTTTGCTCACCTCTCAATGTTAGGTATGTATGAACCTTGCGATTATGAGTTATTTTTGATTAAAACGATTGTGGTTTTTTTTTTACGTTTCTGTCATCGTCTACGTCTATTCATGTGTCTATTTCTAATCTAATTTTTTTTTCGTCTTGCAGTTGTCCTTATCGTGGTCAAGCTGACATGGTAAAGTTCTCAGCTCTTCTACTCGATATCGAGGGCACCACCACCAGCATTTCATTTGTGAAGGTCTGCTTACTAAAGTTAGCTATATCATCTGTATCTATAGATTTGAACATCTCATATTTGACAAGGATTTTTGACCAATCAAATTTAATTTTCAAGCGACTACTGTCGTAATACTTTCCTTTTTTTGACAATTATGTTTTATTGTGTGATTAAATATCAGCAATTAGTTAGCCAATCATTGAATTGATACGTTTTCAGACCCTTATTTTTATGGTTAATCGTATGAGTGAAAAGGAAAAATTTGAATCACGGGAAGCAATCAGTCAGAAAATCCTCTGGACAAACCATTCGACCATTTTTCATTCCTTTACGAACCGCTCTGTATGAAATTCTCCTATGTTGAACATGATGATGGTGATCGACCATGTAAAGCGATAACAAATCGTGCACAAATTGCGAGGAGGTTTGATGAGACTCAAAAGAAGGGCTCTGAAACCCCTAAATACAACGTTTTTCGATGAGTTGTTAGCAGTCTTTTGCAAGAAGGCGTGGAACCTTGTTACGAAATCTGTTTTCAAAAGATTTGATCCATGATAAACTAATCTAACAACTTAACCACTAAAATCGTTACGGTGACAGCTTCCATCATTTCGTTGTAAGCTTTGATGCAAAATGTCAATACAATAAGAGACAGATGCCACAAGTGCTATAAGGACGAGTATTCCGTGATTCTACTTGAAGATTCTTTGAATTAAGCTAGCGGTAGCTTAATGGACAGTGATGTAAGCTATCAGGAAACAAGGTTTGACTTACCTCCTCCAACGCTTCGCAGCAAGTTAACATGGGAACTCCTCAGCTCGGTTATCGCGAAGATCACGAGGAGATTCGTCTCGCCCATCATCCAGCATTCTAACATTCATAAGGACGTCAGCCAAAAAAATACTCATGATCACTGAAGACTTTTCTTGAGTGTGAATGAGAGGAAACGGAAAGTGTTGAGATCCGCTCAATAAATTGTGATGTGGAGTCATGTAAAAAAAAAATTTGGTTTTTCGTATTGATTTGAAGCAAAGTTAGTGTATCCATTACAGGACACGTTATTTCCGTACGCCTATAATGCAGTTGAAAGTTTCGTTCGTGAACATTTTGAAGAAGCAATGATGACGGAGATAATCGCCGAGATACGAGATGTCTCCGAACGAGAATCGAAGATAGATTCCAATATTAGGTATAGCTAGCTTACTGCGTTTCTTTGATTTGTTCACAAATTTTTATGATGAACGTTTTCGATCCCAGGGTTACGTGACTGCGCATCTCCAGATTGTAATTGGACAATTGAACTTGATGACAGCACAGTTTTTTTTTTTTTGATGCAGTGCGATGGAGAGATAAATAGTGTGCAGTAGTCCATTTAGCTGAAGTGTCAATTTATCGTGGAGTGACAAAGCTAGTTATCTTTGGCATCGTATCTTGAGCCTTTGATGAGGTTTATTATTGGCACCTATGAAGTGCAAGACACATGTTTCGGCCTTCCATCCTCGTCAGTTTCACGGTGCCTTTTCGTTCAATCAATTTCAATACATTGCCAGATCATGTTGTTCTTGAGCGAGGTCTCAAACTAGTCGATTTAAACGTTTGTTAGGTATACTCACGTGAAGCCAGTACGCCATGTAATCGACAATCAATCACACTCGACACTTTGGAAGTTTGCTACGGTGGTTTTTCCAGCGTATGTCGGCTGCAAAAAGTTTTTCGTCGATTCCTTTATGTAGGGGTAGATCTCCGAGGAAGTGACTGAACGAAAAGGCACCGTGCAACTGACGAGCGTACAAGGCCGAAACACGTGTCTGGCACTGTGTAAGTATAACAGGCCTCATGAAAGGCTCAGAATACATTTTTGGATTATAATGTTCTTGAACGAAGTCTCAAAACAGTCGATTTCAGTGTTTGTACTAGTAGTCTTTTTGAGTCTCGTCTGCTCTACACTTGCCTCAAGGTGCTAATAAATGCGTCATGTTTTCTACATCTAGGTTAATATTAGAACATTCGTTTATCCAACGGCTCGAGTTCATGTTGATTATATGTCGATCCTGTTTGTCGATCCTGCCATGAATTTGTTAAATCAAATGGCTCTGTATATCATTCGTTACAATTTGAAGTCAGTCTCAGCGGATGAGCTTCACGTTTACTTTGGAAAAATCCAAAGTTTATATGGTAAGGGCTGACAAGTCATTCTCGGCTGGCGATTCCACAAAAGCGCAAAGACATAAGGAATGATAGTAAAAGTAATGATCTTTATATCCATCGAGTGAACACAGTCACCACACTGGTCAGTTTTGGTGGAGAGAGGGATGATATGGACATTGTTGATGTTCGCTTCGTTGCTATACAGCCCATAGAGAAACTTGTATATTTAGAACCATAAGGAGTACTAAAGATGATTGCATTGCTGATGTAAGCCATAACGTCAGACATTGGATTAATATTGACAAGAAGGTATTGATTATTATTCGTTTCATTTTGAAAACGTTATTACTATTAGTAGAAATTCTCTATAATTCAACTCATCAAGTATCCATATATTTCTGCTTTCTTTCTTATTTTTCGTTATGGGGTGAATTCATTTATGAGGAGAACGTGTACTCCAAATCATGAGATGAGATGTTGAAACTGGTATAGTTCTTTTCTTGTTGGTTATCGTTTACATGAAAAGTTTTTGGAAAGAAAAATCTTGCATTGAAATCAGATCAACGGGCTAAGACAAAGATGTTTTTGCTTTATGCATTTCCACTCTTTGTGGAATGAAGAGGATTTTGGTATCAGTTACATCATTTGTTGAACAAAATTTCCTTTCGGTCACTGCTATGAAAAAACTGCAAGGACTTATTTGGAACGAAGCGTACACGAAGGGAGAAGTCAAAGGACAGTGAGTTTTATTGTATTTTATTCAAATCTACATCCAATTCTAGCATCATCCATCATAATTTCAATTTCGACATCAACGAAATTCAATATAAGGTGTTTAATAGACCTCTTCTTATAACCAAATACATGTCACGTCTCGAGAAAATATAACTACTTTCTGAATTCTCATGTGGATTGCTTATTTGCAATTAATAATAGTATAAACTGTATATGCGTCATGTAGAAAGTAGCTCGATGGTATAGATGCAGTTCATCAACAGTATGTGCTAATTTTATTCCACCCTAGGCTCCCTAAGCATCATATACCTCTGGGGTTAAAAATTTGGTATCAGACTTGTCTGAAAACAAATCACTTCCTTTGATCGGAGGGAAACGCTTCACCCGATTAGCTTAGGAATTAGAATTGGCCCAATTTGCACCCAACGGCATCCATGAAAAGACAATCTTCAAACAGCGGCCGATATCACACGCAAATGATCCGAAGGCCTTGATCGGTGATGGATGCGCTCAAGCGAGTCGAATGTAAGAGGTGCTGCGTCTTAGTAAACTAGTTGACTGCTCATGTGGATTTTAGAACAACTCAAGTCATTCATACCAGCGAATAGTTGAGTTTCTGGACCCTAACACAATTGCATTCGCATATATCGTGGTATACCATTTTATGGACTGGTTTCTGAAGCCTCGTTCTGGAATTCCAAAATATTCGATAGATTTGTCTGAAGCGTTTTCGAGGTCTTATATGGCCAGTGATCCACGTACGGTTCGGTGGCATGGCCATCATCAGATATTGAAGTTGTTAAAACGAGATTTTAGAAAATAGTCGATAAAGTGGCAAGGTCTATATGATTAAAAGCCGCAAGCCATCGACTGAGGCAACATTTTATGTTGTCTGGTCTTAACATTCTTTGGTCTCCCTAGCCGTAATATAAGGCCATGGATGTGAAAACGGCGATGCCGCCTAGTCGTACGTGAGCCACTGACCGTTTCAGATTTTGGGAAGGAGACAAATCTATCAAATTATCACAGTCTGGTGGTCATCCATCCTGTATGATAGCCCATATAGTGACCGTGCGTTCTGTAGATGTTGGATCAGCTTATTTATTGCAAGACAAACTTTGAATTTAATGAAAATTATGGCCAACTATCACAAGGTTTTCGTGGTTAATACCTAGCATACCGGCCAACTACAGGTTCGCAATGAAATTAATATTTATTTAGCAATCCAGAATCTTTGAAACAGTGGAAAATTTTTTGGGATCAACAATTATCGTTTTGTTTAACGGTTTTCGAAATAGGAATGAGCTCAATGAATGGTTGATGGGTCTGAAAATGATTTTAAAGAACCATAATTATTCTGTGCACAAATACTAGCGTGTCCGTATGGCACGCTATGTGTCAAATGAAAGCCAGCGTTCAAAATTAAAGTTTAGTTATGTTTAATGTTTTGAATTATTTATTCACGTGTCTAAAGCAAGTGTCGATCGATCTAACATAGATGACCCTCTCCAGTTTTCCTCCTTCCTCATTTACGAATATTTCACTGAGCATCTTTGCACAAGCGATACTCATAAGTCAAGATTTTTGTATCGGTCTTCATCACTGTATGGCAAAGCCACCAGTCAGTTTTTTTCTCGATTTACTTCAAAAATCTGAGACC